TGTAGTCTACTAGGCGTGCAATAGCATTATATCTATAACAACAATGTACGTGTTTTTTCAAAATATCTTATTGCTAAACAATGTTAATCATCATGTGATGCTCAAAGAGTTGAAATGACTGAGCACGTATTACCATACAAATAACAATGAAAAAGTTCGCAATATTGTGAGAATCACCAAAATATGACACAGAGGCACAAAGTGAGCAAAAGCTGTCAGGAAAATAGCAACGATAAATAGACTTGCTTGATGCACGGTTGCCACAAACCTTCAATTTGGAAAAGAGAAGAAACAAGAAAAGAAAAGAAGAAAAAAATGCAGTATCTACAAAGTGCAATAAAGTGAAGGGCTATAAAGCGAGGTATGCCTGCATATTGGTCAATGCCTGTGCCACGTGGGTTGAGGGGCTGATAAATATTTTGAACATCACTCCAGGTAATATAAGCCCCATGGCTTGGGAGGTTATCATGAATTAACACACCAAATGACCTAGATATTCTTCCCTCCTTCCTTCCAGAATCATACAATCACCAATTGTTTTGAGAATGTTCTCAGATCCAGCACAGAAAGGTCTAGCACAGACCTTTAGCCCTCAGACCATGGAAGTACACTGTGCTATTGCTACAAGTGATTGCTACGCTGGGTCTGCCCTTTCTAGAATATTCTGTGTCCCAGCATTTCCCAAAGGGTACTCAGTAGCAGTCTAGGCCCATGAGATGTCTCACTGTAAAAAAAAGTTGGGAGGTCAAGTAAATTTGGAAAACCTTGGGTGTTCAGGGATTCATAATGTGCACAGACTGTTAAAGATCTGAGAAGGCTTGCCGAACAGAAATTGGCACCCCCTGTCCCCACAGTCCCAGATCTATTTGACCACAGGACTCCCTGGTTCTGGTGGGAGAGTCAGGTGGGTGGGTTAACATTATTAGGCATCCAGCAGAATTCACTTTGGAAACATTTACTGTTCCTGGCAAAAAACAAGATAAAATGATCAAGTAATTGTGTGTGTGTGTGTGTGTGTGTGTGTGTTTCATCTGCAAACTCGTGCTGACGGCCATTTCCAAAGAGGGACCCAACATCTGAGCATGAGATAGAAAACAAGTGACAGCTGGGGCCTCCTGCAATGTGCAAGCTCACTTCCGTGATGTGGAGGCTCATGACTGGGGTGTGAGTTTACACCAAGCTGGGTCTCAGTCTCTTACCTCCTTCCCTCACAGAGGATGCAAAGTGATGCCAGGCAGTGCAGGAGAGAATCAATCCAGGAAGGCTTCCTGGAGGAAGGGAGTGTCGAGTCAGCAGCTCTTTAGGAGGGGTGGGGCCCAGATGGGCAGGGAGGAGGGTGGAGGTGAAAATGCCACACCCCTGGGACACTTGGCACTTTCCAAACCATGCGGTGCCTTGTCAAAGCCAGCTGTTGGCTCTCTGCCCTGGCTTCTAGCCCTTCATCCTTCCCCTCCTCCCCTCCCAGGTCCAGAACCATCTCCTGAGTCAGCTTTGGGCTTCCTGCTGGGGGTCAGATCCTTTTCTGCTCAAGGAAGGAAAGGTTAGTATTAAGACTCCAGGGACCTCACCTCCTTTCTCTGGGGCAATGCACATTCCCAAAAGAACAGAGGGTGTAAGGCTCTGAGTCTGTTCTTTTCCACCAGGGGAAGTGTGATCTCAGCCCTGAGGCTCAGCTGTCTCCCCCCACCCCGCCGGCCCCCACCACTTCTCCAGCAGGAAGATGCCGGAATCAGGTGCCTGCTCCCGGGGTGGAGGGAGCCCCAGGAGTGAGAACTGGACTCAGGCTGGAGGTAGGACCGCATATCTCGGGCCCCACCAGAGGCCCAAGCCAGGAGAGGCAAGGGGTGGGAGAGGCCCTGTGAGCATAGGCGCCGGCCAGGCTCCTCCACCCCAGCCCAGGGGAGCGGTCTAGATCCCTCCCTCCCTCCCTCTCAGCTGACAGGGCAGGGCCCAGCTAGCGTGCAGGGACCTGGAACCGAAACTCAGCAGAGTACCCACCCCAGGGACCCTTGCCGAGGCAGAACCCAAGCAAGCCCCAAACTACCCTGGAGCCTGCCCAGCCCCAGGACCGTGCTTCCCAGGGAGGGGGCGAATGAGGAAATCACAGAGCAACGACAGAGGGAGAGGGCTTTGGGGTCGGCCAGGCCCATGCGTGTACTGAGCCCCTGTTATGTTTCAGGCTCTGAGCTTGGTTCTGGGAACACAATGCAGACCCAAACCAGACAGGGCTTCTTAGAGGCTGGGGGGCCCTGGCCAAGTCACTCGACCTCTCTGAGCCTCAGCTGCCTTATCTACAACAAGAGGGCTCCTAACTCCCCACTGCCTGTGAAGTCTGACCTAAACTTGTATGCTGTGAGGTATGGGACAGCCCACAAAGAGTGATGCTCAGTAAAAGCACCTTGTAGCCTGGAGCTTCTTCCACACGAGGCCAGTTGTGCCTGGGTCTGTCCTCAGCCCGTCTCTAAATGGGAAATCACAGGGCTCTCTGGGGGACCCCAGCAGGACCTGCCCCAGCCCTCACCCCCTGGTCTTCAGTTTTCTCCCCTCTGAAATGGGGTCGCAGCGCCTGTGCTGGCTACTTCCTAGGATCCAACGGAGAGACTGTGCACACCTTAGAAAGGGCTTCCCTGGGGCAGGGAAGAAACTACAGCCACAATGATCATCCAACTGCAGGTCATAAGCTATTACGAGTCTCGAAAGCGATGTAGTATCTGCAGCAAATTTTCCAAAATCAGCTAGAAGAAATCGTATTAGAGACTATGTCATGAAGCACAGGTATGTCTTCGGCTGGTGTAACTCTGATCCTGGTTAAATACTGACACCTGCGTGTTTATTGAGTCAGGATGTGAAGCGGACTTCTTGCCAGGGGTCAGGAAGCCCCAGAAACTACAGGACACAGACTCTGGGCTGAGAGTCCGGGTTTGCATGACGACTCTGCCCCTGACCGATGGGGTGACATCAGACAAGTGACTTTAGCGCTCTGCGCCTCGGTATCCTCACCCAGAAAGAGAGATGGCAATAGCCCCTCCCTTGTTGGGCGAACTGCTTGGAACAGCCTGGCACGCAGCCCTGCGAGCGTTGGCGACTACTGCCCGCCTCAGAAGGATGAAGCCAGGCCCCGGAGGAGGTGGCTCTGGGCTGGGAAAGGGGGACAGTTGGGTGGCTCAGTGGTTGAGCATCTGCCTCTGGCTCAGGTCGTGATCCCAGGGTCCTGGGATCAAGTCCCGCATCGGGCAGCCCGCAGAAAGCCTGCTTCTCCCTCTGCCTATGTCTCTGCCTCTCTCTCTATGTCTCTCATGAATAAACAAAATCTTTAAAAAAATGGACATGTTCTATATACATACACACATCTATATACATTTATATATGTTATATATAGACACACATATACATATATACAGTATGAACTCATTCTATAAAAGAAAAAAAGAAAGGTGTGTGGCCTATGGGCACCTTCCCAGGTCATTCCCAGTAACTCTTTCTAGGTGGTGGAGTGACAGGTACACATTTGCCTTTTCTTTGTTAGAGCTAACATTTCTAGTTCCTAATTTTTTTGTACAGCTAATGTGTATTGTTTTTTGGGGTGCAGGAAAAAAAGATTATTTTTATCAACCTATATAATAAACACTACCCACCTCACCTGACTCATGTGACATTCCCCGGCCAGTGTGTGGGCTCACCCCAAACTGCCTTCCCCTGAAAACCACCAGGTGTGTCATTGTGGTTTGGGGCACCAGAGCCCCAAGAAGCAGCCTGATTTTTGTTTTCTTTTCTCATTTGTTCACCGTGACGGCTGATGACCTACTGGTAGCTTTCTGTGGAACAAATACGTGCCAAAGATCGCAGATTTCTTATCCAGGACGGAGGGAGGGAGGGTGGCCAAGGCACGCCATAGTTTATCAAGTGATAAGTCCTGGCATCTCCTGTGTACAAAGCCAGGCTTGGGAGTGGAAAGTGATAAAGGCTGGGGACAGATGTTCTCTAGGCCTCTGATGCCAGACCAAGAAGGGGCATGAAGTGAGGGAAGGGGAGAAAGGGGGTGCGGCCGGATGAGGAAGGAAAAGAGGTTGTTCAGAGGCTGCTTCTCAGCTGCCTGGCCCTCTTCCAGGGCTTTCACGTGACGTCACCTCATTCTGAGCAGTTGTGTGTGTATCCAAGTGCATGTATGTGGGTGCATGCTCTCTCGTGTGTAGAGTCGTGGAGGGGGGGGTGCAGGGGAAGCAGGCAAAAGGTGATATTTAGCCAAGAGAGCGATGTGGAGGCTGAAGCGGAGTCCCTGGTGGCTGCTGGGCATGTGGAAAGATTGACCCAAGGTGGACCCTTCAAGAAAGGGACCTGCTTCAGTGAGGCTGTGGTTTCGAGGGTTACCACAGGCATGGAGAGACTACACCCGCCTCGACCAGCACCTCTCCCCCCATCAGGGCACCTTCGCTGGGCACTGTTATGCCCCATCTGAGCGCCGCCTCGCCCTCCAGGGGCCACCGCAGGGCCTTCCTCCACTTCGGTCTGGCCCGGCCCTGGCACGGTGCCTGGCAAATCACAGGTGCTCAACACATGCCAAATGAATGCCTGAGTCTGACAATGAATGCGGTCTGGGTGGCGAGTGACTCACCCCTGCCTGAGGCTGGGGACACCCAGGTTCTGGTTTCCCCTTTAGCTTGCCCGTGACCTGAGCTGGGGTGTGTTCTGGAACATGCGCCTTCCTTTTGTCCCATCGGCACCACGGAGTTAGCAGAACCCACCGCCGTCTCTCTCCTGTTCTGAAGACGAGGACTCGGGACAAGGGTCTTACAGAGCGGAGCAGGGAGGGTGGATGCAAGACCCAAACTCCAAATGGGCACAACATGCAAAGTGCCCGGAAGGTACTCACAGGCCTGGTCACTCCGGGGACATCCGTAGCAGCTGGGAGGCTGGACAGGGGGAGGCCCAGCGCCTGGAAGGCCAGGGTCAGTGGCTGCGCTTGGGTTTGCAGGTGGAGGCCAAGAACAGTGTCCGCGAAGATGGGGCCAGGCCCAGGGAAGGAAGCTCAGACACTGCAGTTTGGGGGCAGCCAGGAGCTCCGTTTATTGTACCACGAGAAAAAAGGGTCTAGGCAGCCGCCAGGACAGACCCTGGAGGTCCCTACTCCGGCCAAAATTGCTCCCCAGTCCCTGAATCTCTGTGGGCAATAGAGGTGTAAACGTCAACAGTGCCTCCTGCTGGAAAGTCCCTGCATTACAGCACCTCTGTGGGGCACGTCAGAAACCGCAAGGGAGCTAGCTGTGTTCTGGAATGTTCAAGCTGGAATAACACCATTCAACAGCTATTACTGCTGCTGCTGCTGCTGCTGCTGCTGCTGCTGCTGCTGCTGCTTTTTTTTTAAGATTTATTTATTCATGAGAATCACAGAGAGAGAGGCAGAGACACAGGCAGAGGGAGAAGTGCTGCTGCTTTTCTTAAGAGCTTCCTGTGCCCCAGACACAGTACCAAGTAATTTTCCTGGATTATCCCATTTAATCTCCCCAATGACCCCATAGGATAGGAACCATTATTAACCTCACTTGTCAGATGATGAGACCGAAGCAGGAAGGATACCTTATCTTTTCTGAGGTCTCAGATTAGTTTGTAGCAAGGTTAGCTTTCCAGCCCAGGTCTCTCTGACACAAAAGCCCGTGGTTTTCACTGTCTTCCTGGGCCTCCTGTCAAGTCCCAGGATGATGGAGGTCTTTCATCTTTCTATCAACTCCACTGACTTGGTAGTGGCTGCCTCGACCCCTGTGGAGAAGGATTCTGGGTGCCACGATGCATTAATGACGTCTCCCGTGGGTGCCAGCAGGGATGTGGGGGTGTGTGCATCAGGCATGTCTTTGTCTCTGAACTAGTTCAACCTACTGGCTAGTGTGAGTTTTATGGTTCCCCGAGAAAGGGATCGAGGCCCAATCCTCTAACCTATGTCTTAACTCGCTTGCTCAGAAGCCTCAGTATCATCCTGGACCCTCTTACCTCCATATCCCACATCAAATGTTCCAACAAATCTCATTGATTCTACCGTCAAAATATGTCCAGAATCCAGCTACTGCTCATCACCTTCACAGCTGCCACCGCTATGATCTCCCCTGGATTGACACCTACCCAGTCTTGCTACATGTGTCCTTACCCTCTGCACTTGGTCTCCACACTGCCAGCAGAGTCCTTAGATTTGGGCAGAGTGTTGGTTTTCAAAATGCCTTTGCATATGTTACACACACGGTAAAAAAGGGCAGGAAATTCTCACTCCCATTTGACAGATGAGAAACATTGAGGCCCAGAACAGTGATGTAATTGGCCTAAAGACGCACACCAGGGAAGCTGCAATCCAGCCCTTATCCTGATGTTATATGCTCCTTGACTCCTCTAACTCCCAGAGTTTCCTATGGGCACATCTGAGAGTTTTTACACACACACACACACACACACACACACACACACACACACACACACACACACACTACCCAGAGGTTGCAGGAGGTCAGGTAGGGAGGATTTCATGGAGCCCAAGAGAGATGGCCTCTCTCTGCCTTGGACTAGCAGAAGTGTCTCGGTCCAATGCAAGGGCTCAGTTTTGATCACTTTTCTTTGGTGTGTGGTGCCCCCTGGGGTTCATTCTCAGGAAATGCAGTTGATTAAGAAAGATTTTGGGTGGAGGGACAGACAGGCTTTGTAGATGAAAGGAGGTGCCTGGGAGCTCTCTGACCTTGCTCTCTCCCAGCAGAGGTCTTCGTCCACTTAAAGACCAGAGTGTGTGTCCAGGTGGGTGAGGGCCATCCTACTCCTTCCAAAGTTTACCCATCCACACCTCATGGAAACCCAAATTGGTACAGCTTTTCTGAAAGCAGTTATTAAAAAAGGAAAAAAATTGAGATTTAAAAAAAGGTTTTAGATGATATGCTCATTATATACTGCTAAATGAAAAATTAGCAATAAAAATGCATATAAAAATGCTCTCCACGTACACACCTATTGAAGATAGACACACATGGCAGCAATGAGTCTCTCTGGAGAGTAGGATTAGGTTTTATTTTTATTTATTTATTTGAGACAGCACGCACATGTGGGGTAGGCTGTGGAGGAGGAAGAGAGAGGGGAAGCAGACTCCCTGCTGATATGGGGCACGATGTGGGGCTCAATCCCAGGACCCTGAGATCAGGACCTCAGCCAAAGGCAGATGTTTAACCTACTGAGCCCCTTTTACTTTCTTTATGCTTTTTGAATTTTCTGCACACACATTTTGCTTTTCTAAAGTAAAATCTAAAGTAAAAACTTTTTCTAAAGGAAAAAATACATAAATAAAGCCCTTTCCACCTGGTGTCCTGACCCTGTTGCCTGCTAAGAGCTCGTCAGAATGTTCCCTCCAGAACACTATTCAGTGAGCAATGGGCAAGCTGAAGATTTGTCCACTGCTGGGAACATGTGCATTCCAGTGGGAAGCTTCTGGAGATAGTGCCTTACTCAAGCATGTCAGAGTCCCAGTGAGGGAGGGGTGGTGATGGAAGGGACAAAAAGGATTCCCTGAAAACCAAGAAAACTTAGATCTCAGAGAGGAGCCAAGAGAAAGTTGATGACCAAGGTTCTCAGGCAGAGAGGAATATAGGCTGCAGAGAGATCACGTATATGAGTGTGCCCAGGACCAGAGAAGTGACTAGATAATGCCCACGGTCACAGAGCAGTTGGGTGTGTCTGGTGTTCAGACCGTCAACCCCCAATCCCTGAGTTCTTTCCATGCACCAGGAAGCTGGAACTTTCAGGAAACTCCCACAGAAATGCAAATTAGCATTGAGAAAACACTAACTGGGAAGAAATTTTAAGTCTGATAAGATGGAAAGGTTGATAAGGACGTTGGGTAAAGGATATGTTCGTGTATGCTCCTGGTAGGAGTTTGATGGGGTTAGCCACTGTACAGAGCAACTTGAGTACTTGTTAAATTTTTAAATGCATCCTATGACCCAGCAGATCCACACCTCAGGATTATCTACCCCTGAGTGTAGACTGAGTGGTTCACACTGGTGAGCATTGAGGCATTTTGTCATCTTGAAAAGTCAAAAACATTCTAAATATCTATCAACTGGAGAAGCATTAAATAAAATATGACACATCTGACCTGTGGAATAGTTTGAGGGGGGGGGGAGTCTCCACGTACAATGTGTACAATGTGGAAAGTTCTCCACGGAGTTTTGTGGAGGGAACAATACCAGAAGCAAGTTGCAGGATGATAGAATACAAAACAATGTATATAAAACCCCACAGTATCATCTGTTTTCTTTTTTTTTAAGATTTTATTTATTTATTCATGAGAGACAGAGAGAGAGAGAGACAGGCAGAGACACAGGCAGAGGGAGAAGCAGGCCCCATGCAGGGAGCCTGACGTGGGACTCGATCCCGGGTCTCCAGGATCACACAGGCCGAAGGCAGGTGCCAAACCGCTGAGCCACCCGGGGATCCCTATCACCTGTTTACAATGGGTCCCAAGAATAACACTTGGCAGATCCCCCCCATACTGATCAGACCAGTGACCTAAGGTTTGGGCGTGACTTGGGGGGCGGGTGGGGAAATAGTGAACCTGTGCTCCTTTAAGGTGTGAAGAGGAAGGTGTATTCATCTATTGCTTGTGCTGTCAAAAATTCATTATTAAAAAGAAACAGAATAAAAATTAAAAAATAAATTAAAAAATGATAAAAAGAAACAGAAGAGAAAGACCTAAAGGAGGGAGGGAAGGGAGGGAGGCAGGACACCCGCCCACCACCCCCCACACACCCCCACCCCCACCCCGCCCTCAAGGTCAGCGGCAGGAAGGAGACCCCACTAGACAGGAGAGTTGTGGCTCGGGGAGCAGAGGTGCGTAGCTGGAGGGGGGGCAGGCTTCCTCGCAGCCGCCCCCGCTTTCCCAGAAGGAGCGGGCGGGCCCTGGGGCGCGGGCCGGGTCCCGGCAGGTGCCGGCCGTCCGTGCACGCCCGGCGGTCAGCACACCTGGGAGCCGCTGTCAAGCGCCCCGGGGCCTTCCCAGGCCTGGAAGGAGCAGACTGGGCAGGTTTGGAAAGGGCCCCGCTGCTCTTACGGGAAAGGGAGAAGGGGTTCTGGCCCGCACCCCCGCCCCGGCCTGCCGCCTCCCCGCACCCCACCGGGTCGTGTCCCCATCAGGCCCCAGGGAGGCGCAGGGGGGGCCGAGCCCACACGGAGGAGGGAGGGGCCTTGCCCAGGTGAGGGGGGTGCCAAGGCGGTAATCATAGGCCACGTGCCCCTAGGTTCAGCTCCCAGCTGCACCCCTCTGTCTGTAGCCTTAGCAAACCCTTCTCTTAAAAAAAAAAAAAAAAGATTTTGTTTATTCATGAGAAACATAGAGAGAGGCAGAGACACAGGCAGAGAGAGCAGCAAACTCCCTGTGGGGAGCCCCATGCGGACTGGATCCTAGGACCCCGGGATCACGACCTGAGCTGAGGGTAGACACAACCACTGTGCCACCCAGGTCCCCCTGCAGCCCCCTCTCTTTAATTGAGCTATACCCCACCTACCACAGATTTCATCCTTTTGGAGTGTAGTGTTTAATGTAGTCGTCGAGTCATGCCACCATCACCACCATCTAGTCCCAGAACATTCTCATCCCAAGGAAAGGAAACCCCATACCAACAGTCACTCCCCCAAGCACCCCCACTTCCCCCAGCGCCTGGCAACCATGTCTCTGTAGAGCTGCACGTTCTGGACGTCTCAATGATGCAATAGGTGGCCTTTTGTGTGGCTTCTTTCACTTAGCATCATGCCACATTTTCTTTATCCTCTCCTGAGTTGACAGACAGTGGGGTCACTTCCACTTTGGGGGCTATTACGAATAATGCTGTTATGAACATTCATGTACAGTTTTTAAGTGGAATGTTTTCCATTCTCTTGAGGCTATACCTAGCAGTGGCATCGCTGATTCGTATGGTAACTCGAGGTTTAAACTTTTCGAGAAGCCTCAACCTTTCCTGCAGCAGCTGTACCCTATTACATTCCCATCGGTCCCATTTCCTAACTTCTCTGAACCTAGTTTCTCACTGGCAAAGCTTCAGTGTTGATACT